CACTCACTCACTCAGACACTCACTCACTCACTCACTCACTCACTCACTCACTCACTCACTCACTCACTCACTCACTCACTCACTCACTCACTCAGACACACATATTTTGTGGCCCTCTGTCCTTGTGGGGACTTTCCATTGACGTCCATTCATTTCCCAATATCTTCTACGGTCTAACCCAGACACTAACCATTACCGAAACATACCTAACCGTTATAAATACGTTTACCAGGATCTCTTTGAATTGAGAGCGTTCTGTACATGGTAGGCCTACCTGAGTTCTCCCTGACACTCCCCAACCTTTTGGGGGTCTCCAGGATTGTTCCCTGGCAGTGGTTGTGTGGATGATGGTGGAATGAGATGGCGGTGAGCCAGTGCCTTGGTCTCAGATCTAGTACATGTCTCCTGCCATGATAGTAAGGGGTTTTGGATGATGAATGTTATGAGAATAGTGGATTCATTTATAATGCCAGTCCCTCATTACATGGTACCATCCGGCGCAGAACTTTAAGAACTTTAGTCCTTGGTTCCTGAGGCCTGCAAGCAGGGTTGCCCTTGACATGTTCCCAACACATAACTACATTTTGGCCTAATCCTGACTCTTACCTTAAAATTACAAACATATACCTAACCCTTAAGCTAACCTAAACTCTATTCACACTTCAGTCCTTAACCTAGCCAAGAAGAGAACTTTTCCTCATGGGGACCAGTCATTGGTCCCCAAAGGTACCTATAAGCCCCCAAAATTATAGCATATTCCTGGGAAATTGTCCCCACAAAATAGCAAATATATGGCACACACAGACACACACCTAAGGGCTATTTTGAAAACAGAAAGGGATGAAGTTCAAGTATCCGGACACAACATTTGCATGCACAGGGAAAACATGTAAACTTTGTGAAGATATAGGCTGGGAATCAAACTCAGGATCTTTTTGCTCCACGGAAACAATACCACAAACTGTGCCACCATGCTGCCCTATACTAAACACAGTACTTTTTAGTCTAGGTGAATTTAAACAATAAAGCTTTTGATGCCTTCCAAAAGGGTTGGAAATACTTGGTAATGACTTGGTTATCTGGAAATGACATTATTGAAGGTAGATGGGAATCAATATGATTTCTTGAGCTTATTTAAGAAAAAAACAAGCTGTTTGTTGAGGTTTTTGTTATATCCATAATTTTTTTCTGCAATGCTAATTTCAGTAATTGTAGTTTAAACTAATGGTGTAAATTTAAGGCATTAGTTTGCAGCTGACTGCAGGATATCAGAGAATGGGAGCAAAACACATGTAAATCACCTCATGACACCATTTAGCATTCATTTACACAGGCCAGTTACAGACATTGAACATTTTTGTTGTATACCTTAATAGAATAATCAGTTAGAACATTTATAGCTGGCTGGATGAGGTTGAAAAATAAAATGAAATTCTAAATTTTTTGTACTTTACAACCTACATTGCATTTAACATTGTGGATACAGGAATGTCCATCTGTGTTATTTGATTTTGAGTATTTGACTCCTATTCTTGCAGACTATTCTATTAGTTTGTTGGGCATTGGGTGGTGAGATGTTGAATCTGTCTGTTTCTTCACAGACACCTCGTTGGATTTTCCAACTTTGCTCTGGCGACATTTTTTGCGTGCAACACTTCATTTTTCATTTCATAACCTTCAGGATCTTTAAAAAAATAAAATGACCCTATTTTTGGTTTTAACCTCAGCGGCGGTAAAGTGTTGTAAGAGTCCTTCCTTCTGCGTCTCAAAAATCCAGTGATGTTTGTCGACAGACGCCTTTTTTTGGGTTCTTAAATTGTAGATCTTTGACAACTAACGTGGAAAGTAGATTTATAAACAAATTTAGATATTTAAGGTTGTGCTTTTAAAATGTAAATTACTGTATTTTAGTGTGAATGCAGTTTTCAATTATTTGCCTACTATTCATTTGGTCCCAATCGTCATGATTTTGCATTCTGAAGCTTAACTTACTAGTTTCATAAGAGCAACAGGGATGAAATGGAAATCTATTTATTGTTTTCTTTTTATTATTTCCTACTTCTGCTCAAGTCTTTTGGTTTAAATCAGAAGTATATGTATTGTAGTAATAATGGTTAAATAAATGACTGATGTTACACTGAGCACGTAGAATATGGTATTAAATGTAAAATGTCATATATTGCTGCCCCACTTCTATTTTCTTTCTCTTTTCTTAGGTGCTGCCAAACTTTACGCCTACTGGATTGTGGTTAACTTCCGGGAGGCCTACAATATGTTTGCTGTGAACGGGATCCTCTTTAACCACGAGAGTCCGAGAAGAGGTCAGTAAAACTCAAGACATATTTTTGGTGGTACTTCAGAGAAAACAATGGATCTGAAAAATATAATATTTATAACAAAGTATCGGCTCAACCATCATTGAATCCAGTTGTTGAAAATACCCCCATGTCCATAGTTGGGATAAAAAGTATTGCAACATTGCTAGTGGAGGTTGACACTGGCTACGTTCACACTGCAGGTCTTGATGCTCAATTCCGATTTTTTTGCGAAATCCAATTTTTTTTACCTTGCCGTACATATTTCCAACTATATGCGACTTGTATGTGATCTCCTGTGTGAACTGCAGTCATAGAACGCAAGTGTCCCGCATGCACAGTATAGGACGCAATGACATCACAGGCCAGCGTGCTCTTTTTTTCCGAAAGTAAACATGGATGGTAGTGCCGGCACGCATCTAGCGGCCTTTTCCAACCATAAAAACATAATCTTTTCAATATGGTTAAACATAAATACTGCTCTCCGCATCATAATCTGCCATGGTTGTTGTTTTTCTTGCCGCTTCTGCGTAGCAAGACGCAGAATAGTGACGTTTGTCAGGTATTAATGACGTTTAGGTCGGATGAATCCGACCTGGCCCTTTACACACAGGTCAGCATTGGAAAGATTCAGGACCACATAGCCAAGTGGCCTGGGTCACATTGGAAAAAGTCGGATCTGCGTTGTTCAGACAGCCATAAAAAGATCAGATCCAGGTTGCATATGGGCCAAAAAATCGGATTTGGGTCACTTCAGGCAGCAGTGTGAACATAGCCATTATGGCAGGTACATGCTGGTTTTCGATCTGTTCAGAATTCGGGGAAATTCAACATCTTGGATTGTTCTGGCCTAATTCCTTGTAGTTTGTTGCATCCACAGAGTCATGCACATTCAAATCAAATGCTAGAGGTTAAAACTTTTGCAGCTTCCCACTCTGCATCAAATAATTAAGGCTTTGATCCCTGGCTGGGAGACTTATCAAAGGCGTGATCTCTCTCCCAGGGCTTTAGGAGCTTCATTTAATTGTTTTTTTTCAAAGGCTGAGCAGATGCATCTGAGACCTACACTTCTATTGGACATGCAGCATCAGAAACAGTGGTGTAAAGCAAACCCTCACTGCACTCTAGTACATCCACAACATACTTTTTAAATGACATACATTATTATACCTCTCTATTGATGGCCATGGGGGTATAGGAAGTATTTTATTTCATGTGCATTACCATTGGACAAAGTAAGGTACATAAAGTAAAAAAAAAAAAAAATGTTGTAAAACAGTAACAATAAGATGGCCAGAGCCGTCGTCCAACATCAGCAACCTTACAAAAAGAAATGCACTTAAGACAATGTTAAAAATTGTAAGCAGCACTCCTATAAATAGGAATTCCTAATTGCAAATTGCAGTCTTTCCGAAATTTGTAGGTGTGTAAAGGGAAGTACACCCAATGCTTTAAGCAATTTAAGTCTTATAGAAACTGTTCTCTAATTTTCAGACAGAAGTGTCATATCACTTTGTTTTGCCGCTTACCATCATCACATTGCATACTTTCACAAAAAAAAAAGATATAAAAGAGAAGCAATATACTAGTAAAAACAACTACACGTGTTCATAAAAAAAAAAAATCTGTGAATTTGTGAAACACTGAATGGTCTGAACTTCGCAGATGTTTTAAATCATTTTAAAACCAGCAGGTTCACTAAGGTGGATTCATAGCCGCAGCCAGGTGGGAATTTTCAAAAATAAACAGAACAATATCAACATAAATGATTCAAATATTTCAATTTAAGAAGAAATGCGGGGATACTTTTATCACATTTTGAATATGCCACAAAATGACAAAGTGAGAAGCCCCTGACAAAACTACTCTCAATAAAACGTTGAAGCCACAACACCTTTAATTATCAATAAAACATCAATAAATTCATTGTTAGATTGTGTAAAAGTATCCAATTATACGCTCCATATAAATTCATCCACTGTGGGGCCGGGTTGCCTATAACTCCACTTGGCACACACTCATATACGTTCTGACAGATAGGGAACGGGTTGCGGTCACATTTTTAATATGTGCTGTGGGCCCTGAGGGTCGCAGGCACTGCTTTAACCCGATTTACACGCCACCATGACTCAAAATTAATACCACATGACTGGAGCCCCGAAACTGTGCCCAGGTCAGCCGCTCAGGTGTTTATGATTTATCCCCTAATGAAGGCACTGGCCACGACCCCGGCCAGGGTCAGGGGTCATCCAGTAAACTATAATAGGTTACCACAGACAGATAAATGTGGGAACTGGTCTGGGTTCCTGCCTGTTCAGCAGAGATGATGTGGTGCCTACTAGAGGGTCATATAATGAAGAAAATGGTGTCAAAATGGGTTCAAAAGGCAAAAGCTTCCATGCGTAAGCTAAAGTTTGTTTTAACTGTGATGAAAATATCAATAGTTTAATACGGTTTGATGAAACAAATGAATATAACTTCTAATTGTTGTCATTTAGATTTAAAACCAGCCTGGAATCTTGTGAAATCCCAGAAATGGCAACAGGCAGGCCTGTTTCACAGACAGAACAGACCTTTTAAGGGCAAAGCTTGGTGCCCACTGATAAGATGAAGTCAGCCCTTAGCTCTACAGTATGTCAGCTCTTTCTCCTCTACCTGCCCAATCTTCCCACACATTCCTATTCCCTTTTTTTTTTCTCTGTCATGTTTCTCATTTTTTCCGTATAGTCAGTAATTCTCTGCGGTGGGCCTTTAGCTTTCGCTCTTGTCACTGCTATTCTAAGATTTGGGGCTGATGTTGCTCATGAAGCAGGAACTTGGCGTCTGTACAGTGCAGTGTGGCCATTGTCTCGGCGCCTGATTGACCAGTGTTTACCCAGGCCCCCTGGGTGCAGCATGACCCTGGTGTTGCCACACAGAGATGTTTGCCTCTGCAGTTTTTTACTTAAAGGTTAATAGTTTCTTTTTTTAAGAGCTAGCTCTTTGATGTGCAAAATGTTTCTACTATATTTTTACCTCTTTTGGATCGTGAGGTTGCACTTTAAGTTATACACGTTGATAAAAATACTTTGTGCCAACTGGATATTGAAAACATCTAATTTTGGCTTGAATGTAGCAAGTGTACCATAAAAAAACAGCATGATTGCCGAGCAGTCCTTCCAGGACTTTCATTTCTTGTTACTTTTTTCTCAGCAGATTTAAGGGAACATAGAAATTTGATATTTAGCACAAAAATGTAAATTTGACTATTTCAGGAAATTTTATGTTTGAGTTTTTCTTTTTTTGTTTGTTTTTTTGCTACCTTTTATGAATTATTCATTTAAACATGCAAACTTATACAACTCAAATCTGTAGCAAATTATCTGCTCATTTCTAGTCTCATGAAATGGGAAAAAGGCACTAGAAACAGAGAAAAAGAATCTTATTCATGTAGTTTTCACATTTTAATGATGGTAAATGCAAATGTTAAATTTTGTGAACACAAACTTTAGATATTCCCATGTTAAATACGGACTCATTCATGCAATAAAAGCAGATTCATTTGTAATTTGTTTAGGTACAGTCACAGGGCAAGTTTATTTGTACTGTATAGTACAATTCAGTACATGGACTATTCAAAGTGCTTTACATGAATTAGATAATATAAGAAAAATAAAAAGCAGAATAAAAACAAAAATAATTTGTTAAACAAATAAAGCAATTAGACCACAACCATAAACTAATAATACCTCAGAAGTTTATTTTCAACAGTCAAAGGCCCATTTGTTTAGGTTCTAAAATAAAGGGTTTTTTAACTTTGACTTAAAGCAGAGGAGCAGGGTCCGGATTCTGACCCACCTGCTGGTTATTCCGGACCCAATATGATTTAAAACATATATAAATTATTATGTTGTCTGACGGCAGTGTTTAAACGTCACTTGCGCCACTTCTCCTGTTAACATCATAACGCTGTTTGGAGATCCGGGACCAGGCTGCACGTGATACAAATTAGCCAATGAGCTGTGTCAGTCTGGGTTGCTGCTGCTAGCTACTTTTAGGCAAAGCAGGCAAACCTGTGACAAGCCTGGCAGTGGGAAAGTAGAGGAATACAATAAGAAAAAGAAAGTGGAGAAAGTGTGGACTGCTCGAAGAATTGCTGTGAACTACTAAAAGAAAAGTGAAATGGCATGCTCAAAGATGACCCTGCACATTTTGAGTATGTTTGGCTCAACCTGCTGCTGTGAAGCAGGATTCTCCACCATGAACATAATAAAAAATAAATCGATCCAAGCTCAAAATGAGCACCTTGATATGTGCTTGAGAATGGTTTTGTTGCCAATCAAACCCAGGTTTAAAACCTTGCAGGGCAGCCTAAAGTCCAAGTGTTTTATAAAAAAAAAAGTGAGTCAGGAAATTGTCTATATACCAAGCTGAAAGATTGTTGTTCTCTACTTCAAAAACTTAGATTTAGAATTTAGAATTAGATTTTAATATGGAAAAACATTCTATTTTTTATACTTTTTATTTAAAAATGTAAGGCATAACATGGATGCATAAACACCCGAACTTTATTTCAGTGTTCTATTCTGTTTAAAGTTACGGATTATTATTAAAAATGTCTACTGACCTTTACTGGTTGTTGATTTTCTTTTATTTGAACCCTACTGATTTTTAATTGGTTACCCATGACTTAAAGGAACTCAGGCTTTCAGCACTTTTCCAGTATTTTGGAAGTTTGTTGCAGATAAATGGAGCATAGAAACTAAATGCTGCCTCTCCATGTTTGGTTCTAGTTCTGGGTGGACAGAATAGGCTGGAACTAGAAGTGGTCTGGGAAGTTGATACACTGACAACAAATCTGTTCTGTATTGAGGTGCTGATCCATTAATTGATTGGTAGACTAACAGAAGAATTTTAAAGTCTATTCTCTGAGCTACAGGGAGCCAGTGTTTCATGCAGCCTATAGCCATTAAGCATTGTGATTACATCCCTATTAAACCCCACCATGACAGGACAGGTTAAGGCTT